CGCGCGAGGGAAAGAGATGAAGATGAGCGGCGACGTAGAGATGAAGGATCGTAGACGTAGGGATGAGGAGGATCGTAGACGTAGGGATGAGGAGGATCGAAGGCGCAGAGATGAGGATGATCGGAGGCGTAGGGAGGATGATGAGCGGAGGCGCAGGGATGATAATATAGACAGAGACCGCCGGTGTGATGGGTATCGAGGAGGAGATTCTTACAGTCGAGGAGACAGAGCCGACCAGTATCCGCGCAGTCCCAGGGACCAGTACCCGCGCAGTTCCAGATACGGTGGGAATGTCGAAGGGTACCGGAACCCGGGCAACTTTAACTCGAGGGATAGAAAGGACTCCCGCGGTCAATGGGAATCGAATAGGGACCACCGAGATGGATATCGAAGCGGTTACGAGCGGACAAAGAGAGGTGGTGATCGTAGAGAAGAGCCATGGGGACAGTATGAGAGAGGAGGATATCCTGCGTCGCCAGGATATCCCAAGTCCCCAAACTATCCTAGATCCCCTGGACCATCCAACCAGGATGTGAGACGACCGGCAATTAAGCCTGCGGAGGAACGACCCACTACGCCTAGGAACTCCTGTATCTATTGCAGGGGAGACGATCACCTCAAGAGAGACTGCCCTGACCTCAAACGGGCAATAGATGAGGGACTTGTCGTACTTGATGATCGCAAGTACGTCAAGTGGGCGGATAACCTTAGAGATGTATCGATGTTTCCTTCAATGAAAGAGAACGTGGAAGCTAGGCGAGTGGTGCCGAACAAGGGTAAGGGAGTCGCAAGAACCCAGAGTGTGAGGCTGAGTCTACCTTCTGAGGAGGAGGCCCCCATGACACCCATACGGGTGGCGGCTACTAAGTCCTCTAGACCTTCCTCCTTGAAGAAGGCTGACACTGACTACGTGATGGCGGAGAAGGACGGGAAGAGGATTGAAGGAGAAGAAGTTATACTTTCCCCACGGAAACGTGGGGCCACAAAGTTAACGATGAAGAGCACTCTCGATGACATAGACACGATCGAACCTCTTAGACGCGCTCTCATGCAGTCTATGAAGTGCATGATCCTAGAGTACTTGGCGGCCTCGAGACCAACACGGGATGAGTTGCAGATGATTACACGCAAAACGCGTATTCCTCTGAGCGACGAAGTCCAGATGGCAACCAAACAGGAGGAGATACCCACAATAGCGGTATCTAGTGTGGTCGCTAAGGCAGATCATGTTGTAACGGTGTTCTTAGATGGGATAGAGGGGGTGCCTCCTGACAAATTTTATATCCTGGGCAGTGGGACAGTACAAACTACCCTCAATGACGAGATAATTCTTCATGCGGTAATTGATAACGACAGCGAGGCTGTTATTCTAGATGAGGACCTGGCAATCCGGTTGGGATTAGACCTTGATAAGTCGTTCAAATTTGAAATAGAGATCGCCGATGGAAGAAAGCAGAAGGTCACCGGGGTTTGCCACAAGGCTGCGATTGAAGTCGAAGGGTTGAGAGTGATGATGCCTGTTTTCGCAGTTCGGGATTGCAGCGCAGAGTTATTATTGGGGCGGACATGGCTAAGTCACGTCCATGTCGTTACAATAGAACGGCCGGATGGAAGCCAGATGCTTTCCATCAAGCGTCCAGACGGTGGGCGGATTATGATGGAGACGGTAGAGCCTCGTGACCCGAGGAACAGAGCGGTTCTCGCTGCAGGGGGCTGTGTACTGGTTCCCCTTGCGAGTTGCTCCCTGAGCTTTCGCGAAAAGAAGTATGGACCCCTGCTTACAGAAGAAGAAGGTCGGATAGTGGAAGTCGAGGATTTAGGCACTCGTGTCCGTGTGGGAGAGAACTCTTATCTCAAAGCTGAAGAAGAGGAATTCAGAGTGATGATATCTGTGTCTTTTTTAAGGGCGCAGCCCCCTATGGGGGGCGACCAAAAAGACATAAGACAGTTGCTCAGAAGGTTAAGTCGACGCCCGTAGCTCGGGAGCGATCAGCGTTAGATGGAGTATCTGAAGAAGAGATCGATAGAGAGATTAAAGAAAAAAAGAGAAAGGAGCCGCAACGGCTGACATAAAAGAGGATAGCGGAGATGAACATAAGAGATGGAAGCTTAACTGAGTCGGAGAAAGAGCGAGTGTTGGAAGTTCTTAAGTTCTGGGACAAAGCTATAACATTTAGTGATGCGGAAAGAGGAAGGATTGATCCTAGGTATGTTAAGCCTGCAAGGATTTACACGATTCCGCATACACCATGGAATGACGCAGGGTGGAAGTTTGCTCAAAAAGAGAAGGAAGAGGTGATCTCCTTTCTCAAAGAGGAGATGGCATCACACGTTGCTGAGCCATGTGATAGCGCGTAAGCTAATAAATGGTTCTTCTTAAGGAATCCCAATGGAGAGATACGGTGGATTCAAGACCTCCAAAAGGTCAATGCGGTGACAATTCGAGACGTAGGCTCCGTACCGCATGCTGATTTATTAGCAGAAGGAGTAGCAGGCAGATCCATTTATTATGTCTGCGATTTATTTTCAGGATATGACGAGATACCGCTAGATCCGAGAGATAGGCATCTCACAGCTATGCACACGCCGCTCGGATTAGTGCAGATGATGGTCGTTCCGATGGGATGGACCATTGGGGTAGCAGTCTTCCAGAGAGCCATGATAGCTGTTCTGAAAGACTTTATTCTTGATAAAGTTGAAGTTTTATTGGACGACTTTCCGATAAAAGGACCATTGTTGAAAGACGAAACGGAATTCGCCCCTCGCGTCAGGAGATTTGTTGAGCAACACCTGACGGATATTTACGCTGTCCTGGAGCAGCTAGATGAAGCTAACCTGACGGTTAGTGGGACAAAGAGCCGATGGGCCGTATCGACGATTAAAATTCTAGGGTTTATATGCGATGCGAAAGGCCGACGCCCCGACCCTGGGAAGCTGGAGAAGTTGTTGAATTGGCCGACTCCTTTGCACAGTGCAACTGAAGTTCGCCAGTTTTTAGGGGTTGTTGGTTATTGACGGATTTTTATACGGGGATATGCGGAAAAGGCGGAACCCGTGCTCACTCTTCTTAGGAAGACTGATAAGTTCTATAGGGATTTTTCTCAAGAGCTTGCGGTACAATCCCTCAAGGAAGAATTTAAAGAAGGCGGCCGAATTCTAGGTGTGTCATTCTTTGAGGACGAAACCAACAGACCATTTATAGTGTTTACCGATGCCGGACCATGTTCGGTAGGAGGATTACTTTCTCAGAAGGACACCGACGGTAAGGAGAGGCTATTGAGGTTCGAGAGCCGAACACTCAACACTGCGGAACGCAACTACAGTCAATTTAAGAAGGAAGTGTTGGTTGTTCTACCAGGCTTAGATACCTTTAGGCATTACATATATGGCAGACGATTCGTTCTCAGGGTAGACCCCACAACTGTAGCGTCAGTCCTACAGAAGGATTTCAGTTTGACGGATCCTACGATCGCGCGATGGCTGATCAGGATTCGACTTTATGACTATACCTTAGAGAGGATCTCAGGGACAAAGAACGTTGTGGCCGATGGACTTTCACAGATTCCCATTGAGGCTGAGCGACCGATATCGGTTGTTGCACTAACTATGGTTGAGCCTAGGCGAACAGATCGTTTCCTAGTCAACCTCTATGAAGGTAAGTACTGCACTATAGGACTGCATCTGTCAGGAGAGGAAATTACTGACTCAGACATCCGGAGACAGGCAACACAGTAATGCCTTAGAGCTGGGCATTTGTTTCGTCGACCTGTGGGAGCAGGGATGCCTCTTCGGGTGATTTGTGATAAAAAATAGTCCATAGTAGCCGAGTTACATGACGGTGTGGTCGGAGGACATAGAGGAGTAAAAGGAACATACGAGAAGGTTCGCAGACCCTATTGGTGGGAAGGACAATACAAGGACGTTGAAAAGTACTGCAAAACTTATGAGGACTGCCAGAAGAGGTCCCTTATCCGATATAAGGAACCACTTCATCCTTCATATCCTACTAGACCAGGAGAGAAAGTGCATATTGATATGGTGAAGATGCCAAAGGGTGTAGGGAACATGAACTATGTAGTTAACATCAGGGATGATTTCACTGGCTTCGTCGATGGTAAGCCTATCAGGACGAAGGATGCAAAGGAAGTTAAGAACTTCGTCCTGGAATATCCGTCAAGATATGGGTGCGTTAGTAAGATTGTGATGGATAGAGGAACAGAGTTCCTAGCAGATGAGGTACAGAGCGTGTTCAAGAAAGCAGGAGCTAGAGTGTCTATAGCCACTGCCTATCACCCTCAGTCCAATGCACCTGTAGAGCGAGGCCACCAGTCATTGATTGCGTCCCTATCCAAGTGGTGTAGAGAAAAGGATAGCGACTGACCGAAGTATTTCCGATATGCGATATGGGCAGATAACATTACGGTGCGGGCCAGCACTGGGTACCCACCTTACACGCTTTGGTTTGGGAGACACTGTCCTCTGCCTATAGAATTCCACGCCGATAGTTGGACTACGGTAAATTGGGCGGATAGCATGACACGGGAGGAGTTGCTAGCCGTTAGGACTAGACAGATAGCATACGGATTGGAGAATAACCTCATGACTGCGGTCGATCGAGAGGCAGTAGAAAGGGAAAAGAACAAAGTGAGATGGGATAAAGATGTCAAAATCAGAAAGGAAAAGATTAAAGTCGGCGACATGATACTTCTCTATGACGCCGCACTGGAAAGGACGTGGACCGGAAAACTGGCTAACAGATGGATGGGGCCCTATCGTGTTGTCGGTGCGTTATCCTGGGGGGCATATATGATTGCCGAGCTAGATGGATCGAAGTGGAAGGATCCTGCGGCCGGAGCTAGACTGAAGTTGTTTAAGCCAAGTGAGGCTCCTACTCCTGTACTGATGGTATCAGATCCTAGAGGAAAAGGGAAAGCTAAAGTGGCAGATGAGGGACCGTCGAGACAATTCGAAGAAGGTGAGAGCTCAAGGAAGAGGAAGAGAGTAGAAACCAGGAAAGTGAAGGGCCTAACGCTGGGTAAGAAGAGGAAATGAGTTTTTGTCCTACAAAGGCCTAAGAGAAGAGTCCGCATTAGGAAGGGTGGCGCAACTGACACACGAGTTCCCCAACGAATAAAGAAGCGAAGAAATATTCCAGTATCGAAGTCCAAACGACAGCGACGTAAGAGAGGGAAGAAGCACCCTCTCAGCCCCAAAGTCCCTGAGAAACCCAGACGCCAGACAGACAAGAGGAGGCACTTGCGTCGAGCGCGAGTGGTCCATTTAGACTTGGTACGTTTCGTCTAATCTTGGCGGAGCGGGCTCGACGGGGGCGCCGAGAGGAGGTCTGGGCTTGTTTGTCGGGCGACCAAAAGCCAGTCGGTCGCCCTAATACCGGGAGATTAACCCGTAGAAAAGTTGTCTGAGAGGGAATCGGTCGAGAGTCTTGTCCGACCGACTGGGAGAAATTAGGGGTAGCCAGGTCACCCTTGATTTTGGGTGCGTCAACCGTCAGGACCAGCCCTAGAAATTGGCGAGAGGGACTACCGCTTCGCCGCCCTTACGGTTACCCGATAGTCAACCTTGTTCCGCCCGCTCTAGGCCTGTCCCCGAGACGACTGGTCGCGAGACGGTGTATTGAGGATGAGCCTTGACGAGGCCCTTTTACGGTGACCAACGGACGCGAGGATGGAGCCCCAAATTTAATTGAATTTAATATTAAAATTAAAAATAAAAAAATAATTAAAAACAAAAGAGAATAAGAGAAAAACGAAATATTCGTAAATTTATTTAAAATTATTGATATTAAATTTTTAATGAGATAGTCCTAAATTATTGATTTTCTGGTAACATATTTAAAAATGAGAAAAAAGGATCAAAAGCAGTGAAAGGAAGAAGAAAACGAGAAATTTTGATGTTTTATTGAATTCGGTCGGGAATAATTTTTGATGAAAATCCTTTTAATTTCATTTTTTTATGATTTAGGATTAAGAAGAAAAAAAAAAAAAAATAATAATAAAAGGGCAAAGGAACCAACGATTATTTAACATTTAACTAATTTTTAAATTAATTATTCGCGATTAATTTTGGCCCCGGAATATTTATCTATTCATCTTCCGACGATTCTCTCTATTTTCTGATGATTGAGATTTGCTTATGTGACTTACCCGATTTCCCTGATTTCTAGCCTCACCGAAACCTGTGTGTTCTGAGTACGGGATGTATGGGCGGCGTGGTGGTACCGCCATGTCACTTGACTATGCCTTCGGTTCGGATGCATGGTTCGGGAGGTTCGGGATCGCGACATTTTGCAGTATTCGACATATTTCACGTGCGGTATCGGGTCGGCATCAGCATGGTACGCACCGCTGTATTATTTTCAGGTTCGGGACGATCACGACATGGCTGCACGGTTTTGCGTTAACATGATACTACAGCTTGACCCTAGTCTTCAGGTTCAGACAGACTCAACACCGGTATGGTGCAGGCTATTCAGCCTCGAGATTGCTGCGGTACGGTGTCTACATTGTATTGGTTCGGACACGTGGCCCGGGGCAGGCGCGATACCGTTTCATTGGGTTGGCTTGGGGACTCTGGTTCCGGACTATCATTACATGGCCCTACGGGTTCGACATTGACATGGTACAGCAACAACGGGTACTGGTTACCCAGGTTCGGCACCGTTCGGGGAGGTTTGGTACTATCACGAGATTGTGGCTTAATACGGTATTTGGCATATTTCAAGTCTGATTTAGACTCCACTTTGGTGACGGGTGAGATAATGGTAATTTATGATGATTATCATGGGTCCGGCATCGGTCTGGTAAAGGCTCGATTACTGCAATCAGGTTGGTGAATTCCACATTCGACACTCGGTTGGCTACTCACGTCAGGATCTGTGTTCTCGATCCTGGTACGGTCATTGGGTTTTATGCGGGAATGTGACCATCCTTCGGTACGACATTGGTACCTGACGACATAGAGCTGGTTCCCTGGTGACTCGTACGCTTAC